AATGCTTATGGGGCTTTAACAAACAGACCAGGTAAGTAAGTGTTCGATAGTAACGGAGGAGAGTCTAAAAGAGTAAAGCTCTAAATGCATTTGTAGAAATGAGGTGTAGCTCCATGGAGCGGAGCCCTGTCCCGCATGGTCCTGCGAGCTGTTGAACGGCGTTAGACATCATTAACATCCTGAGACATCATTAACATCTTGAGACATCATTAACATCATTAGACATCACTAACATCATTAGACATCATTAACACGGCCCTGCGTGCGTGGGGTTGTGAGGAGGCTGCAGGGACCCTGACCGGGGCAGCCGTACTGCCCAGGGGGCACTGGTGAAGTGATTCCATAAAAAGCTGGGCAGTCGTCATAACAGGGATGGTGGGACAGCAGGGTTCCAGGTGAGCAGGGATCAGATCTGGGGGATATAGGGCGTGTGTGTACTTAATTTGGGTTTTTTTGTTCGTTGGTGATGCATACCCCCCTTTCTGCTGTAGAAGAAAATGGCATCCTTTAGGAGAGTTAGATAAAGGGGAACGTCCCTTCTGAGCTTGGGAAGCAGCCTGGAAACAGAGAGAGACCCTGCAGAGTAGGTTAACGGAGTGGGGTGAGACTGAACATGAGGAAATTACGGAGTGAACGTATTTCCATAGTGTCATGTTCCTAAGTAGCAGAAAATATTAGCATCTTCAAAATCCCGGTAGAAATCTAAGGAATAAGAAAACAGAAAAACTCTTCCTACAGTTCATCAATTATCTTGCTCATTTTTATTTTGACTGGGTAGTAGCAACTGCCCCTAATGTTTTGGGATTTTTTAGTTATGCCACTAGCCTGTGTTTCAAATTTAGCTGACTGAAGTGGAATAAAAGAATCTCTTGTCATATGTAATGGGGTACACTTGCCTGGCAGTGGATTTCAAAAGTTTAGCAGAAGTTAAAAGAATGTTCCTAGATTGCAACAGTTCTCTTCGGTAGTAAAAAAATATATTTGGTATTTATTGGCCAATAAAACTTGTTGTGATCCCTTTGTTGACTTCAAAGTAATATTAATATAAAAATTAACAGTAGCTTCTTGTTTCAGCATTGTTCATGTAGAGCTGGCTGCTGTAGTATTTATAATTAGCAGTGGCCATCTGTGAGGCATAAGCAGTAAAATTTGTGTTTGGCTGCATCAATTTCTGATACTGACATTAACTTTTAATATTACTTATTTTCACTTATGACTATTGTCCCGCCATGGTGTTCTGTTGATGTCAGAAAAGGTACCATTATAATTTAATCAGCCTGCTGACCATTACACTTAAGTTTTAGATGAATATTTAACTCTTATTTCTCAAAGTGATTCAACAACTCTTAATGGCAGGTTAAGTCTGTTACTGTTTTTGCAGGAAATCTGCAAATAGAACCCATAACTCCCAAGAAAAAACTCTGCTGTTCATAACCTAAGTTTATCTATAGCTGTGCCAAAGACCATGAGGTTGTACTACAGAGGTACTGTTCATATTCCTCAGAAATTATTTATGTCTGGATTGAGAGTAAAAAGTGTAAAAATAACAGACATATTTGTGTCAGAAAAGGATGGCTCAGTCGGCTGAAGAGTTTTGTTGCCCTTCAATAGGTCAAGTGGTATTTACATATATTTTGGGCAACATTTATGAGTAATACTAGAATTTCTTCAGTAATTCTATAATAAAAATCATACAGAAGAATAGTTACATTCCAAATTGACTTCCCTGTGTTTTAATCAGAAATATTTAACAATAATACATCTGCAGAGTTTGCTCTCTGTGTATTTTGGTCTTGGTAGCGCTCCCTTGGAAACTGAAGAGCAGGTTTTCATTTTACAGTATGAACTCCAAATGGAATGTAAAACATTCCTAAAATAGTCCATTTATGTGTGTGCTAGGTAGGGTATTCTGATTTGATAGCATTTCAGACACATTTTTTGCAAATACAAGAAGCATGACAGGTACAATAGAAGGCAGTGAAGAATCATTACAGATATGAATAAATGGGCTATTTGGGGAGCACGTAGGTGGAGATGGGAGAAGCAAAAAGTGTTGGCTCTGAAAATGGATTTTCTCTGGATTTTTTTTTATAGATTTCCTGGGAGATATATAGCATATGGTTTAGCATGCAGCCAAAAAAAAAAATAAATTACCAAATAGCAAATGATAGTTTCTACCATGTTAACACAAGGAGTCTAGTTTGATATTTTACTGAGCATACCAAAATATCCAGGACCACAAAACCTGTCAATCTGTATACATGCAAGTGGAAATTTAAAATATTCACTTTTGTCCTTAGGAGGATAAATTTTTAAATAACAAGTTGAATAATAAGACTTGTACTAAACCCACTTGTGTTTGTATGCCTCTCATCATAAGCAGTAGCAGGCTGACACACTTAGCAAACAGTCTGTCAGATGATGTGTCTTTGAACTACAACCAGCTGTCTCCAATAAAGAAACAGAAAAAAACCAGGCAAGTTCCTGTGGGGCAGTTCACTGGGAGGTAGAGTTGACATCATTTATTTCCTATACTCAGGAAATAACCCTATCAGTGGCTCCTGTTGTGAAATGTTTTTGATGTCTGACAGTTGGTTTCTAATACCACATCACATGAGCAAGTCAGATGTAATCTCAGACATTGTCAATGAGAAAAAAGAATCAATTATGGGATAGTGGCTGCTTGCTGGAAGGAAAGTGTTTTTGTCAGAACGCTTTCTGTAAAAGACTCGATATTCCAGAAATATCTACAATTATATCTGGGATTTTAGATACTGAACCAAAGCAGATAACCATATCTAAGCATTGTGAATTTCAGGTTATCATGCCAAATGAGTAAATATCTCTTACTTTAAGCAAAATAAGTGTCATAAACAAACCCATTGTAAATTACAGTTTTAAGTTTAAAAGGCACAAAACGATGCATCTAGATTTACAGCTACTGTGAGCGTCATTTAATCAAAATAATATTCATCTACATTTCTATCATTCTTGCACCGATGAATTAATTTCTTGGCATCTGTGGCATATGTAAGCATTAGAGGTATTTTTGTGAATCACGATTTTGTTTGTTCAGAATTCTCTGCCTTGAAAATTCTTAGCCATTGTACAGTTTTGGAAGCTCTGACCATTTGCATAGACAACACCTTCCTGATGGAAACAGTGGCCATGCTGCAAGGGACAAATTTTACTTTAAAGCTTCATCCATCACGTACCAGTTTATGGTCTTGTTCATAGTACATTCTGTTTGTCTTCACACTGAGGTTGTAATTGCTTTTTGGTAATTTCATTTGCAGTAGGGTAGGTGGTGGATTTGTGATAAAGTGTCCAAAGTGTCATTAGATTAGTGAGAGCAGGGATGTGTGCCCAGTATTACCTACCTTCATGAGAAAGACCCTATTTTCCAGAAGGGATTACTCCCCAATAGCTTGGGTGAGGGAGCCAATGTGTTTTAAATGGCCGTTGCTGTTTGCTCAGTGAATATGGGTCAAACCTTTATTTTGCCATTTGGATCAAACCCATCTTAATAAATATATTGTCATTCATAATGTAAAGTATTTCAGGGCAAGGGTCATCATAAAATTTTTCCAGCTGAACACTGAAGTTTGGAGCAGCAGATGGAATGTTTAGAAAGTAATTCCTAACTCAGAACTACAGTGTTGTACTATCCTAACCTGTCTTACAAAATACCTGCATTGGTAATTTTCTTAAAGGTGCATTTTGATTCCACAAGTTGAAAGAAAAGGGTCTTTAATAATGTGATTTTTTTTTTTACTGTAGTGATTTGTAAGTGCCAGTAGAACAACTATTTCTTCATGACCTGAAGTCAGAAATGGGCAGCAGTAATTGAAAACACTACACAGAGATGGGGGAAAAAAAGGAACAAACCTCATTATATGATACAGATCTGAATTTTGAACAAAACAGAAAAATCATCTGGTTAAGACAGATTTTAAACGGATAAAAAATTCAATTGTCAAAATTCAAATTCAATTGTCAAATTAATTCATTTTTTCCAGTCTGTTTTTCATTTGTATTTTGCATATTTCATCTCAATGGAATAAACCAGTATATTCATACAGTAACAGCCTGGCTAATATAATTTTTTTGGTCATCATTAAACCTCATTATTATGTATTGGCAGTAATTTAATGGTATTTACTATTGCAATTAAATCCTTTTATTTGTTAGAAATTAAGAATACACTATGAAATTATAATCTAATACGCTAAATCTAAACTATAACTGAAGAAAACAATTGTTATTCTCTACTTGATTTGCTCACAAATTTTCAGTCATTTTAAAGTAGTGTAAAGTATTTATCTAATAAAATTTAATCACTATTTAAAAAATAATATTTTGTTCATGTAAATAATGTCATATGTACTCCACTACTCTTTGTCAGATTGTGTTCCTTTTGCATTCATTTGTTTAGAAAGCCTTATCCTGTAACTGAAGCTCTATTGCATGTGATTTAAATATCAACTTAGTAGGGGGATCAAATGCACTTGTGTTGTAAAGTCATTGTCTGACAAAACAGCCCCAGAAAACAAAGTCCTCCGTATCCATGGAACCACAGCAATCCAGCCTTCCCCTTCTACCTGCCAGATCCCTCTGCCTGTGCTGGGGAATCACATCCAGGGCTCGGGGTCACTCGGTGTGAGCTGAGCAGGAGCACCCCTGGCACAGCAAAAGTTGGGAGCCACAGTCCCCAGGGAAAAGCAGGGGATGGGCGACAGAATGACAGGGGCAGGGAGGCTCCTCTGCCTCCTGCTGGGAAGCTACTGGTGCTCCTGCCTCCTTCATTTGTACACACATTTCCTGCAGTGGGGTTGGCACCAGTGAACGTAAGATGACTTAAACCTGAAATAATATGACAAGATTTACTCATTCTTAAAATTTAAAAGTTAATAAATAAAAAAAATTATATGAAACTATAACTTTACTCTGTAACCGAAATGGATGAAAAATGCCTTCTAAATATCTTTTTTTTCTTGTAGATGACAGTCATGTCCCATTCAAAGGATCTCAAGGATGACTTCCACAGCGACACTGTACTTTCCATTTTAAATGAACAGCGCATTCGGGGTATTCTTTGTGATGTCACCATAATTGTGGAAGATACCAAATTTAAAGCCCATAGTAATGTGCTGGCAGCTTCAAGCCTTTACTTTAAAAACATTTTTTGGAGTCGTACTATCTGTATTTCAGGTCATGTACTGGAGTTAGATGATCTCAAAGCTGAAGTGTTTACAGAAATACTGAATTACATCTACAGTTCCACAGTAGTTGTTAAGAGGCAGGAGACTGTAACAGACCTTGCAGCTGCAGGGAAAAAGCTGGGAATATCATTTCTGGAAGATCTTACAGATGTGAATTTTTCAAGTTCCCCCTGCCCCTATGCATACTGTGTTAATGAGAAAGGGAATGTCAAAGAGGAAAAACACGAAAAGAGACATGAAGACTCCGCTGTGACAAATGGACCACGAATTACAAATGCATTCTCAATTTTTGAGACAGAAAGCAGTTTGTTTTCTCCACTTGATTTGAGGGCCAGCTTTAAAAAGGTTTCTGACACAATACAAGCTCCCAATATCAGCCTCGACAGAAGCGATGTTTGCAAAGATGCTGAGCCAGCCAGTACCTTGGCTGAACACTCCTATGCAGTTTCTTCTGGGGGAGACACTTCACAAGGAGCCCCTTTTGTGGAACAGGACAGCAGCCCTTCATACCAGGGGGGTGAGGACCGCTATGAAAATCACCAAGCCACGCCAGTCATTCAGCAGGGAAAACAAGCAGGTAGTACTCCTAAGCCAGCCTTTAAGCCCCAGAGTACGAGTTTGGCTGTAGCAAAAGTACCAGCCTCTACAGTAACCACTGCAGAAGCCCAGCATGAAGCAGTTACTGATCAGACAATTACTTCCTTTCCAAAACCTCAGAATAAAGCAGGAGATTTTCATTTATCCAGAGAAGAACAAGACAGTTCTGCTAATGCTTCTGCATCTGAGACAACTGTCATTCCACCTGCTTACAGTTGTAACTGTTGCGCAAAATCATTCAATGACAGGGCCTCGCTCACTGCTCATCTTCAACTCCATTCAGAGCATCAGGAAACTTTCATATGCAAACACTGCAGCAAACAGTTTGCAAATCTAAATATACTGGAAAGTCATGAACAAGTCTGCATGAGATCAAGTAGCTTATCGGTCCACAATGGAAAAGAACAAAATTTTGCAGATAACTATACTGCTACAGAGGGAAGGAATGGAAGTTCATACGCAAACACAGAGCCCCTGTTGTCTGAAAACAGTGTCACTGATCGTTCTAATCCAAACTGCACTTTGCCAGAGACAGATCATTTGGTTAAAGTGGTCGATGGGCAGATATTATACACTTGTGTTGTTTGCAAGCGCAGCTATGTAACACTGTCTAGCCTTCGAAGACATGCAAATGTGCACTCGTGGAGGAGAACATACCCTTGTCACTACTGCAATAAAGTGTTTGCATTGGCTGAGTACCGCACCAGACACGAGATCTGGCACACGGGGGAGAGGCGGTACCAGTGCATTTTCTGTCTGGAGACTTTCATGACTTACTATATACTGAAAAATCACCAGAAGTCCTTCCATGCAATTGACCATCGTCTCTCAGTAAATAAAAAGACAGCCAACGGAGGTTTAAAACCCAGTGTGTACCCATACAAACTGTACAGGCTCCTACCGATGAAATGCAGGCGAATGCCTTACAAGTCCTACCGAAATTCTTCATATGAAAATGTTCAAACAACTACCCAGGCCAATGAAACTACTTCTGCTAACTGCTTCATTCCGACTTCTCTTAGCTCTGAGCTACCACCACTAAATTTTCAACACAGTATAATAGCAAACAACAGAACTCTGGCCTTGGATACATCTTCACATAATGATACAGCACCTTCCACGAATACTCAGAATTCTTCCTCTTGGGGAGTAAGTATCTTAAATTCTGACTTGCAGAGGGACTTTTTCACAGCTGAAAAAAGAGTTTCCACTGCTGCGAATGACTCTGGTTCTCAGGAGTGTGACTCCTCAGTTGTGTCTTTAAGTAATGTGAATGAAAATTCAACCTCTGTCATCAGTTACAGCAGTTCTGCACCCTCTGTTATAATGCACAGTAGCAGAGTTTCATCAGTAATCATGCACAGTAAAACAATCACTTCCATAGAAAACAGTAAGACAGAATCTTCAAATAATCTGCCTAGTCAGTCCGTAAGCGATGACGGTAAGTATGGACCAGATAATCACGGGAAGTGCATTACAAAATCAAAAACTATTAAGGAGAAAAAGAAAACACTGCAGTACAACAGAGCAGAAGCAACTGAGGATACACAGCATGTCACAGGATCTGGAGGTTCATCAAGCAAAACAATAAATACTGTGCAAGAATCAAGTAAAACTGAAACATACATTGCAAAGCCTGCCTTACCTGGAACGTCTGCCGACAGCAATGTTGCACCTCTGTGTCAAATAACAGTAAAAATTGGTAATGAAGCTATTGTAAAAAGACACATTTTAGGATCCAAGCTCTTTTGTAAAAGGGGACGAAAATCTAAACATGAGTCCAAGCAGGACAATCTAACTGAGGAACCAGAAATAGAGGTAAAAGAAAAGAGCCCATCTAGACTTTACAGCTCAGAATGCCTGGAACTGACAGAAATGTGTGATGATGTAAGTGACCAGGACTCCAGTGATAAACCCTGGAGACCCTATTATAATTACAAACCGAAAAAGAAATCGAAACAGCTAAGAAAAATGAAAAAGACCAAATGGAGGAAAAAGCACGGAAGCAAGAACACCATTATGGAAAGCCACAACACGTGCAGTCGAGAGTATGCACTCAGGAATGCTCCTGAGGAAAAGGCCATCAGCCAGGAAGACAACACAGAAATGCCTAATCTTCATTGTGAGCTCTGTGAAAGAGACCCATCTTCCACAGCAGAAGGTCAAGAACACGTGCACTGGCATGTAGCTACTTCAAAGCCTTACATTTGTGAGTTATGCCAAAAACAGTTTCAAAGTCCATCCACTTTAAAAATGCACATGAGGTGTCACACTGGGGAAAAGCCCTACACTTGCAAAACCTGTGGTAAATGTTTCTCAGTTCCTGGAAATCTACAGAAACACGAACGTATTCACCTGGGTGTCAAAGATTTTGTCTGCCAATACTGTAATAAGGCGTTCACTTTAAATGAAACACTCAAAATACACGAAAGAATTCATACTGGAGAAAAACGCTACCACTGTCAGTTCTGCTTTCAGAGCTTCTTGTACCTTTCTACCAAAAGGAACCATGAGCAAAGGCATGTCCGTGAGCACAACGGAAAAGGATATGCTTGCTTTCAGTGCCCCAAAATTTGCAAGACAGCAGCTGCTCTGGGAATGCACCAGAAGAAACATCTATTCAAAAGTCCAGCTCCACAAGATAGAAAAGAACAGTTTTGCAATGAAAGCACTAAACTTCTGGAAAATCCACGTTTCCTTGGCTCAGAAGGAAGTGAAGTGAAAAATACACAAAGTGTAACTCCAGAAGTTATACTCTGAGTGGCAGCTGTGCAAAAGAGAATCAAAACCCAAAACTATATATTGGAGAAGATAGAGATGCATTGAATGGGGAAAGTCTCCACTCAAATTAGTATCATTTACTACGATAAAGTTTCTTCATCTAAATGTGTGTCAGTATATGCAAAAGAAGGAAAAATAACAGAAAAACTAGTATTTGCAATAATACAAACTTAATGTGAAATACCCAAAATACTTTTGCCACAATAGACTCTTGGAGAGAGAGAGAAAGGAAAAAAACGACCAACCAAAACCCTTCTACTTAACATTACAGGTAACTGGTCACTGAACTATTTTACAGTGCTGGTTTTGAGTCAGAATCGTTCTAGGCAAAAGAAATGAGTAGGTTCATGGTGTATTCCGTAGAAGGATTTTTTGCTGCAGAAACTATATATTGCATTTTTTAAAACAAAAAGTAATGTGTTTATAAAGGACATAACTGTAATCTAGTGTATTCTACAGTGAAGGTGGGAAGTGTTTCATGAGCTCGAGTGTACCGAAGTACAGTTGAGTTCTGCTGTGCTTTTCTGTAACTCCAACATTTACAAAACATAGTCAGGAGTTTAAACTGCTCTTTTCCTTTCCATATTCAGTTTTGTAGTTACCATAATAACTGTTAAGTCTGAGTGCTTGTGTGGAGAGTATTCCAGATTTATGATATCTCTGAGACATTTAATAACGATTCAGTAGAAGTCATTATAGCCAGTCTTCCAAACTGCTTAAATCCCTATGTCAGTGGCCTGGTGAGCTATTCAGGTGCATTGGTCTTAAGGAAATTGTCCTGAAACAGCCTAGCTTAAAGAAATCCTGTATAGAAATGTCCACCTCCTGGTGGGTCTGCAACTCCTGTCTTTTAGAAATATCATTCTTCTCAGCAGAAGAGGAGATGTAGACAGAGTTTTCTTCCTCATCCTAGAATAATGCCTGGACACAAACAACAGAGCAATTCCCCATAAATACTTTGATTTTGAGAGGAGTTGGTAAATAAGATTCTTGCTTTCATATATATCCCTGAGGCAGTCCTTGTGTATAAACAGGAACAGGGGCAGTTTGTGGGGTTCCCTGTCATCTCCATGCCTTAAATGCAACTTTTAACCTTCAAATGTCCCTTCTCGGTGATGCCAAGTGTGCCAGCACCTGGCCCCAGGCAGGCTCTGCCGCAGTGTCCCGTGGCCCATAGCAGAGAGGTGCTGGGAATGGGCTGGAGGAAGGAGTGTTGGCCTTCCTGCCTCCCTCATCCCGCCACGCCGAAGGTCTTGGTGAGCCTTACGGCCTCACAGTTCACTAAGGACTGTCTGAAAGACATCACCAAAATATTCCAATTAACACTGTTTTGTGGAAATGTGATAAATTTTAACTGAGATGTTCAAAAAAAGTCAAAGCGGGTGTATGTCTACGAGTTGCATTTTATATGATAGGGCTCTGTTGTACTGTATCTGCATTTCCAATTACTCATGTATGTTTATCCCTGTGAAGTGTTAAAAAATTAAGTCAGGACAAGGGTTAGTGATCCTCAGCTTCATTCTGTGTGATGGTTCACAGTTTGTTACTTAACTTCGTCTTCTCGAATATTTTCAGAGAAATTATAGCTTGGGTACAATAAAATTACAATTGAAATGATAATACAGTATTGATTGAAGTAATAATATAGTCCACTTACTTATTCTATCACTGTTGAATGCTACGAACCCCTTGAGAAATTTTGGCTTCATGGTAGCTTTGGTTCCATTTAAATAAGGATAACAGAATAATAAAACACAGGAAAATATAATGATGCTTCAAAGAAAGTACACAAAGATATCTTCTAAGTGGACTTGTATGGTGATAAAATATAGACCAAAGCAAATAAGGTAGAATATTTATAAATACAAAGATAATTTTACAAATATTTTATATAACTGTATAGTTCATGAGAAAAATATTGTTAGCTTGCATTAGGTTGGGGGGGTTTGTATATTTTGATAAAAACACAACAACTTTGTAACTCTGTATATTCTCTACAGTTTATAGCAAAGCAGTTTTAAGATGGCAATGTCATGTTTATAGTTCAGTTGTGGCACTTTTACTACAAGTAACACGTTGCAGTAATTAATTGAGTATTAATGACCAAATTAGAATTAAAGTATGTGTAAGAGAAGGTAAATACTATACGTTGTCAAAGACTGTAATTTGTTACATAATCACATCTGTATTTTTGTTTAGAAGAAAATATTAAATGCAGATGTTAAGGATTGATAAAGAGTCTAATTTTATTTTTAGAAAGAGCGATTATAACTCTGTTTTTGCTTAATTAAAACAACATATTCCTATTTTTCTGTAAGTCTCTCCATTTTTTAAATTGTTTTAATACCTATATAGTCTATAAGACCCACAGATACGTATCATCTAATACTTATTTCGTTAGAAGATTAAGCAACACAGTTACCAAGCATCCCTTCATTAGGGTCAAACCAGCAAACTGAGAACCTGCCAGAGCTCAAGGGAAGTGATGGTATCTCCTGGCACCGTTTAGGGTGAGCACAGTGCTCAGCAGAACACAATCTACCTGCTCAGTGTCTCAGAGGACTTGGAAGACAGGTGAACTGTGTTTAGTACTTTACAACATCTTAAGCGTGTTCATGAGGACCTGAAACTTGAAAAATTCTTTTCAGTTCTGATAGTAATCTTTGTAATATAGATTGTGTATTTTACATGCTGTACTTGAACTTTTTGGAACTACTATGAAGAAACATAGTTCAAAATGCAAATATCGAATTGCATATGAAAATATGAAGATACATATAAAATGGAAGATTATGCATATTCAAAGTACTTCCCCCTTCAGCTAGGTGTCACTAGTCTATAACCTGCAGTAAAAATTAAATTTAAGCACAATTATGCAGGTCATTTTGGGAAGGTTCTCAGGAGAGATGTATAACAAAAAAAAAAAATTGGAAGTTTGCTACTTGTAACAAATACTTTTTTTTCTGTATTTCAAATACTAATTAAAAAGGCAAGTGGATCATCATGAAGTTTTTGCATCTAAACAATATGTTAGTCAATCCTCAGTTATGACATACCTAAAATTAGAACAAACGTACTCAATCATATTGCTGTCTTCTGTGAAATGAGATAGCATGACACAGCTAAACTCCAGGCATTTGAAGTAAGCCACTGCATGTCATCATCACTACTATTTGTTCTAAACATCCTTAATATAGCAGTTACCACTGACAGTTCAACACCTTGGCTGTCAGGTTACCTCACAAGAGCAAAGATCCATCCTCATTGTTAAATGAAGAAATCCTTCCCCTAAGTCTGCAAGGCAGCACACCAGTGTTTGTTTTAACCATGGCCTTAGCTGCACAGACCTACCTGTCATACAGATGCTCCCAAAATGCAACTTCAAGAGAGGTAAAAAATGAACATTATGCAATTGAAACATTATTCTCAATATAGTATGGAAGATTAAAATGAGGCTTTTTTTAAATAAAAGGGAGTGTCAGGAATCAGGCAATGGCAAAACTCGATGTCAATAGGTCTGTGCTTCAAAGAAAGCTGATATTAAGTTAAAACATTAAACCCCAACTGTAGTCATAACTTTTGAGAGAGTATGGAGGCAGTAGAGTCACACGATCTAACTTTCAAAATGAGGCAACACACAGTTCAAGCACACATGTCCATTCTCAGAGTGCTGCCCTGCTCCTTTCTCAGATCAAAGCTCTGACTCTGCCCAGGTTAGCCTCAGTTCACCAGCCAGGCAGGGCAGCCAGCCTAGACAGCCAACTGTACATAATCAACTCCTCAATTTGTACTGTAGAGGAACCTCTCATTTCCAACAGGTTAAAATTCAGCTTATGCAAACCCATGTCTTTGTTCAGGTTTAGGTTTTGCATGCACACAAATACGGCTCTTAGTGGTGTGATGAAACAGTTCATTCCCCACCACTCCCTGCCCACCACCTTTAAACATATCTGTTATCCCCCAACCACCGTGTGGAGTGTGGGGATGAGGAAGGAACGTCACCACAGCTGAGGGAGCAGCAGGTGAGAAGTTGGACACAGGAAAAGCCACCAAGAAATGAGGTGCAGCAGTGGCTGTCAGATTATATGGCTCAATGCTGTATCATAGTAGTAACGGCAAGATTCGTGCAGAAATGAAAAATGGTCAGAGTACCACAGCAGGGGACTTCAGTTAAGAGACATATGACAGATGCTGGCCTGCAGACTTCCCTTTAACAGGACAGACTGAAGAGGGCTTTTTAGGTGCAAAGTGAAGAACCCTAGTCCTATGCTGCTTTCTGAAACAGCTTTAGCCTGCTGAACTAGACTCTACCTAAAGGCTTGGAAGCTGATGTACCCTCAGCCTGACCCTCAGTGACACCGAAGTGGATGTGACACCTGCAGCTGGTGAATTATGCAGGCCCAAGACAGGTGTCCACCACCAATACAGACTGGGGCCAAGTCCAGGTGTTATATAAGCCAGATCCCAGAGTTTCACATTAGGATCTGCGTCTACAAGAAACGTTGCTATAAAATGTGAAGACCCTTCGATTCTTGAAGGCGGTGAGCCGCTGGAGCCTGCCTGTGAACACCTCTGGGTACCCTGGGACGCCTGAGGGAGGTGTTGCCCATGGCAGTCTGCAGGCAGTGAGACGCCTGCTTCTGGGGCAGCGCTGGCAGACGAGCATTTCACACTTGGTTCACGGCATTTCTTACACAGCTGAACAGGCAAACGTGAACCAGTGAGAGCAGCAGAGATCCGACGGAGCCCACGGCGTGCTCTGCACAGAGGCAGGCGCTCGGTGCACCCCAAACCAAAGCAGGCAGACACGCCACTTGTCCTGGCCGTTCGATGTGACCCATCTCAGCGCGGCGAACACCGCGTTCAGCGTGCTGGGCTGCCGAGCCCCTGCCCCTCCGGGAGGCACAGGTCACCCAGTCCGTTAGGCTGGAAAAGACTTCTGAGATCATCGAGTCCAACCTATGACCCAACACCACCCCATCAACCAGACCACGGCACCGAGTGCCACGTCCAGTCTGTCCTTAAACACCTCCAGAGACGGTGACTCCACCACCTCCCTGGGTGTCTGATCACCCTTTTCTGTGAAGAAATCCTTCCTAATGTCCAACTTAAATCTCCCCTGGCGCAGCTTAAGACCATGTCCTCTCGTCCTGACTGTGCCCGCAGAGGAGCGGGTGGTCCGGGGGAGGCGCGGAGCGGGCCGAGCGCACGGGCGCAGAGCGCTCCGGAGCCGCCCGGCAGCGCGGCGGGCCCGCAGAGCCTCGGGCCCGCAGAGCCTCGGACCCACAGCGCGGCGGGCCCACAGGTCCTCGGACCCACAGCCCGGCGGGACCGCAGGGCCCCGGGCGGAGCCCCCGCACAGCCCGGCGGGAGGCGCCGCCAGGGCGCAGGCGCGGCCACCCCCCGCCCGGGCCGGTGCGTGGTTCCCGCGGGCGGCGGGGGCGGGGCCGGGTCGGGCCGGGCCGCTCCCTCCCTGCCCCCGCGGCGCTCACTGCGCAGGCGGCGGCGCTGGCGCGATGGCGGCCGGGGACGGCGGCGACGAGGTGCGGGTGCTGCAGAACCTGCGGGGGAAGATCTGTAAGTGCGGCACTGTGGCGGAGCCGGGTGCCCACGGCCGGCGCGCTCAGGTGCCCGCTCCTGCCCCGGCTCCACCGCTCCCTCTGCGCGGCGGGGCGGGCGCTGGCTCGGCGGCCCTGGAGGCGGCGGGGTGGGGGCGGGAGGGCGCGGAGGGGCCGCGGGGCCGGTGCGGGGTCGGTGCGGGGTCGGGCTGCGCTGCGGCGGCCCCGCGAACGGGCTTTGTGGCGGGAGCGGCGGCACGTGCGGGCCGGGCCGGGGTCTGCGCGGGGCCGGGGCCGGGAGGGCGGGATGGGGCCGTGCATGGGTGGATGCATGCGTGCGTGCATGGGTGGATGCGGCGGGGCCGCTGGAGGCCCGCAGGGGCTGGGAAGCATCCGTTGCGGCGAGGGTTCACTTGAGCCAGCAGAAATGCCCCCTCCCGCCCGGACCTCGGGCACCGGAGTCTGTTTGTCAGGCAGAAATTGCGAAATTAGCGTGATGTGCAGGAAGTTGGTGGTGGAGGGCTGTTCTGGAAGCGGTCACTGGTGCTCCCGTGCCTCGGCGCAGCGTGTGTGCGAGCGGAGGGGGGCGGAGAGAGGGGCCGGTGGCTTTATTTTGGTGGTTCGGAAGTGCTGACTGCGGGCGCCCACACGGGCGGTAACGTGGGAACCGCGGCCGCGCTGGGGAGCAGCGCTGGGGAGCAGCGCTGGGGAGCGCTCGGGGAGCGGGGAGAGCTTCAAAGCGAGGGGCAGAGACAGGATGTGCGGCGGCTTCCTCGGGGTATCGGAACACATTCATTCCGCTCGGACGCGGCCCGTTTGTTTCCTTTCTCACGCAGCCCATCGGCTTTTTTGAGAATGAAGCGACACGGGTTGATTCGGGCACGGCGCTGGGGTTGAGAACCGGTTGTGAAAACATGTTGAAGGATTAGTTTTGGTGGAGGAGTGGAGTCGTGTTTACTTAAATACCGTCATGCGGCGTAGTCTTCAGTAAATAGACTGAGCCATGAAAACAGCAGAGGGCCTGGGCTGGTGCTGCTCTCGCTCTGGTGTGTTGGTGGTAGAGCCTTGCTGGGTATGCGAGGCTGAGCACACACTTACCGAGACCTGCTGGTAGCAATTAGCACAGAAATAATACCTCAGATCGCCTTTAAAAAAGAATACTGTTAGGTTTGGGGTTAAGGCATGAATTCATAGAGTGGTTTGAGTTGGAAGAGACCTTAGAGATTATCTGGTTTCAACCCCCCCTGCCATGGTCAGAGACACCTTTCACTAGAGCCCCATCCAGCCTGGCCTTGAGCACCTCCAGGGATGAGACATCCACAGCTTCTCTGGGCAGCCTGTTCCAGCGCCTCACCACCCTCACAGTAAAGAATTTCTTCCATATATTTGACCTAAATTTCCTCTCTTTCAGTTTGAACCCATTACTCCTTGTCCTATCACTGCAGTTCTTGAGGAAGAGTCCCTCTCCAGCTTCCCTGTAGGCCCCCTTGGGATACTGGAAGGTTGCTGTGAGGTCTCCACACAACCTGCTCTTCTCCAGACTGAACAGCCCCAACTTTCTTAACCTGCCTTCAGTAATCTTCAGCAACCAACTATTTATGTATGCCCTAGGAAGCAGGTCATAGTCCTGTGAATGCTATGACCTGCTTCCTGTGAAATACATAAAAAGTAGGTTACTGAAGGTAACTGAAGCTGACTTATTTTTTGACACTATTTTTCCTATTTTTTATTATAATGTTTTGTCAACA